ACATACATTCTGATAAATCTGACTTTCCCCCAACCTGATATGATATATATATATATATATATATATATATATATATATATATATATATATGCATAGGTGTCTTTGCATCTCATTTACTTAATTAATTATAAAATTTAACCTAATTTTATTTATTTTGTGACTACAAACCCTGAGGTCTACGAAGAAATTTGCCAAAATGTGTAGCTTTATAACAATATGAAAGGGCAGTTCAGTTGATCTTTGAACAATTCAGGGGTTGAAGACAATGACTACACATGTAGTTTGAAAATCCATTTATAACTTTTGACATAACCTCAAAACTTAACTACTAGTAGCATGCTGTTTACCAGAAGCCTTACCAGTAACATACACAGTTGACTGACACATATATTTTACTAGTAGCCCTGCACACAAATCCATGTGCCATTAACTCTCTGCCGCCTTCCTATAGCTCTCCCCACACCATCCGCCCCCCCTTATAGCTTGCTGGCCTGCCCCCTCCTGTGGCTCTCCACTGCCTGCTTTTAGTTCGCTACTCCAACCTCTTGCAGATCTGTAATCCAGTCATTATGGGTTCAGTTGTTGTGCCTCATGGCATAAGGGATTATTAGCATATTCCTCTTTAATTATATAGGATTTTATACTAGTATCCAGGTTCATGAAATTCATGCAACAGGAGGTGGGGGGTAAAAGGGTCCCTCAGTCCAGTCTGCACCCTCTCCAACTGGGGACATCCCTCTCACAATCTGGGACTGCTAGCTCCTAACTGCTTACCTGCTTGATCATCTCTAATTGCTTCTGCCTGCCTTATTGCCCCTAACCTCTCTGCCTTCCTGCCTGAACTCACTCCCAATGGCTTTCTACTGCCAGCCTGATCTCGCCCCCAACTGTCCTCCTCTGATTTAGGGTTCAATTTTGGGAGGCTAAAGTCAAACATTCAAATTATTTGAATACTAAAGATAGGATTATAGGTACTTGAAAAACAATATTATTTATAAATATAACCTTGCTATAATTACACTTTCTACTCTCCAGCTTTGTACTAAACTTAAAAAATATCAACTTGCATCCTTATGCAAATTTCAAGTCACAAGAAGGAGAAAAATGGACCTCAGATCTTTCCAGGCCTTGTAATTTTCATTATTTGACTTATTTAGTGGTTTCTTGAAAGGCCCCAATAACAAGGTAGGCTCAAGTTTCTACAGTACAAAAATATTTGTCTCAGATGGTTGGGGTGAAGAGTGGTATATGTTGAAAAACATTACAATCAAGTGTTTTGATTTGGCAACTGCTTTAGGTGAGAAATTTCTGTTGTTTATAAATTATCCAGTCAATGGTAGTCTGTTACAACAGCCTAAATGGATGAAGACATACACATGGCCAATAGGTATAGATGAGGGTGCTCACTAATCAAAGAAAATTCACAATCAGATATCACCTCATTCTTATTAGGATGTCTATTATCAAAGATAAGTGTTAGCAAGAAATTAAAGAAATCTGAACCTTTGTACACTGTTGGTGGGAATGTATATGTTTAAATGCTATGGGAAAAGTTATGGAGATTTCTCAAAAATATAACTGAAACTACCATATGTTTCAGCAATTACCACTTATGGATAAAAAATGGATAACATGGATAAAAAATGGATATATATATATATGGATACATCCAGCCTCTCATTTTTTATTTTTTTTTAAATATATTTTTATTGATTTTTTTACAAAGAGGAAGGAAGAGGGATAGAGAGCTAGAAACATCAATGAGAGAGGAACATCAACCAGCTGCCTCCTGCACACCCCCTATTGGGGATGTGCCTGCAACCAAGGTACATGCCCTTGACCAGAATTGAACCTGGGAACTTTCAGTCTGCAGAGCAACACTCTATCCACTGAGCCAAACCGGTTTCGGCTGGCCTCTCATTTTTTAAAATCATGTCTATTGCAACATTTATAATAGCCAAGACATTGAAACAACCCACATGTCCGTTGACAGTTAAACAGATAAAAAGCATATGGTGTATGCACACAATGAAATATTATTCAGCCTAAAGAAAAGAAGGAAATCACACGGATGAACCTGGTGAACATTTTATTAAATAAAATAGTCCAGTCATCAAAGAACAAATACTCTTATGATTCCACTTATGTGAGCTACCTAAAACAGTCAGACTCAAAGCAGAGAATAGAATGGTGGTCACCAGGGCCTAGGGAAAAGCAAAAATGGGCCATTGCCATACATTGATGTGTCTGTGTAAGGTAGTGATGTGCTTGGAGGATGAAGGATGATAGCAGGAAAGCAAATATAGTTTATCATTTCTGAATAGTGAAGTAATTTACACATATACTAAGTAGTGATTTATGTCTGAAACTTTGATAAATTGAAGTTATATTAAAATTTAATGAGCCTTTGATGAAATAAACTTTTTAGAATTTCCAACATATAAGAAAATATGAATGATACCAATGAAAATATGAATGATACCAATGAAAATATGAATGATTTCAGACATATATGAATAATTTTTAAAATTTATTTTGGACAGATTTGAATTTATGCCAACACTTATTGTGAAATTCTGTGTTGATTGGTTTGATTTGAATTCACCTGATCTAAAAAAGGCCCTAGAACTCAGACCATTTGGAGATCATTTCTAAGTAGTAAAAAGGATTAATGAGAACTCCCAATTCAAGCAGAGATGGAATCCCAGGAGACTCCTATTTTCAAGGGAAAGCTCCATGAATAATAATAAAACAACTCAAATCAGGTCACCGACGTTTTTGATCTTGGACATGGACAAGAAAGCTGCCTTTACATAATTTTAGCAACTATGCTGTCTTAAGATTCCAGGTGAGAATGAAAACAAGGTTTTACCTGAGTAGAATTTGAAATAGAACAAATTTTAGAGAGTTGGAATAAATTAGTGAGTAGGGAAACTGTAGCCTGTAATTCAAGTAATCATAAGGCCTACAGAATGTTTCTATTTTTGAAAGTAACGTTCTTTAAAAAACAAACAACAACAAAAAACAAAAAACACCTGATATGTTTGGACAATGACATTGAAGAACTTAGAAAAAGTGGGCTTAGAGTATTCCTGAATCAAATAAAAAGAGAACTATCCTTGTCTATGAGAACACTGGACATGAGATTTAGCTACATCTCTGAACAGGAACATTGATTGAGACTAGAAAAAAATATACTTTGAAAATGTCAGAGAACTCCTGGATGAGAAAAGGCACTAAAAAGAAATCTGGCAGCAGACACTTAACTCTAAGAGGCTCCATGATTAGAGGAGGCAGAATGTGCTCCCATGTAATAAAAATGAGTTTTCTACATACTCTTCCATCTGCCCTGTCCCAGCAAAATTCTAAATATATTTTTAAATGTGGTTATAATGTTGCTGGGACTAATTTTAACTTTATTTCTCATTCTTTTTGTATTAGAAAGCAGGTAGGGTATTAATTAATCACTTTGATCACATCTGAAAGTCTCACCCTAATGATCCAGATTGAGACATTGACAAATTAAACAGTATTCCAAGTGAAAGCCAAAAGCAGTGGGCAGGGTCCTAAGTTTCTCATCTTTAATAGAAGGGCAAGGAGAGTGTAAGGCTTGGGAAAAACGTCATTTAAATTATTATTGTTTTCTTTAATAATATTTCCTTATCAAGAATTGGACACAAGTGAAATTTTTATTAAATAGCCTAGGAAATACTTAGGCTATCACAGGTAGAGTCTGTCTGTCCCATTCAGACAATGAAGATTTTTAAGTGCAAATTTCCTAGGGCTCACACACATAATACAGCAATGATGTTAGTAGTGTGAATGGTGACAAATCAGGATGAATAGTTACACAAGAGTTTATTGTTAGTGGGGATGACTTCATAGGGATGTGAAGAGGGTGTATGGAATGCCTATGTAGATTTATTGTAAAACGTAAGTACCAATTAAATGGTAGAAAGTAATTAAAATGTACCCAAAATATGAAGCCAAAATTTTATTATTAAAGTAACAGAATTATGTCACATGTATATAACAAATGTATATAAACTGTTTTCTAAATTATTATTTTAACTTTCTATATCCATCTCTTTGCATAAAAAGCAGATCAATGCATACTATTAATCACTAGTCTATCATGTATCATTATTGACCAAAGCAGAGAAATTTCATAGAATTGTGTGCTACTGTGATGATAAGGCAAAATGTGAATCTATCTTATTTTATTGAGGATTTTAATACTCAGTTTAAAATACCACTATACTGCTGAAACCGGTTTTGCTCAGTGGATAGAATGTCGGTCTGCGGACTGAAAGGTCCCGGGTGCGATTCCGGTCAAGGGCATGTACCTTTGTTGCGGGCACATCCCCAGTAGGGTGTGTGCAAGAGGCAGCTGATCGATGGTTCTCTCTCATCTATATTTCTAACTCTCTATCCTTCTCTCTTCCTCTCTGTAAAAAATCAATAAAATATATTCTAAAAAAAAAGTTTAAAATAAATAAATAAATAAATAAATAAATAAACATACCACTATACTTTTGTATGACTTAGGTAATTGCAACCTGAAAATCCATTGATAGATGTATATATAAAGAAAATGTTACATATGCATAAAATAAAATATTCTTCAGCTTTAAAAGGGAAGAAAATCCTGTCATTTGCAACAACATGGATGAACCTGGAAGTCATTAGACTAGTTAAAATAAACCAGATGCAGAAGGACAAATACTACCTACCTAGTACAAGTGATATGATGAATCTAAAATAGTCTCATGAAAATAGATATAGTAGACTTTTTTTTTCCTTTCAATTAGCTAGCATATCTGGAGAATTTGACCAACAGGATAGGTATTTACAAATAAGATCAATATTAAAGTTTTCATGAGGTTAGGAATCATTTATTCTAAGATATAACACTAGGAGTGTAAAAACCAAAGTAATTTTTAACATTTGCTTTTGGAACAATGAATTTTCTTTTAGGAACGGCATGCTACCCTGTCATCATGCATTTCGAAAACAGTACAAACTCCATATTCTCCACCTTCCTGGTGACAGGCATACCTGGGCTGGAGGCTGTGTACATCTGGATCTCCATTCCCTTTTCTGTCATGTTCTTCATTACGTTGGTGGGCAACATGACCATCATTGCAATTATCTGGCGAGAACAGACCCTCCACGTGCCTATGTACCTCTTCTTGGCCATGCTGGCAGCCTCTGATCTGGGCCTGTCCCTCTTCACCTTCCCCACAATGCTGAGGATCTTCTGGCTGGATGCTCGCGAGATCACCTTCTCAGCTTGCTTTACCCAAATGTTTTTTATCCACACCTTCCAGGATTTTGAGTCAGCTGTCATACTGGCAATGGCTTTTGATCGCTATGTGGCCATTTCTTATCCACTACACTATTCTTCCACCCTTACCCATAGTGTAATTGCCAAGATAGGTCTGGCCATTGCTGTGCGAACCTTCACTATCCAGGTACCTCTTCCTATCCTCTTGAGAAGGCTGTGTTTTTGTCGCTCCAATGTACTTTCTCACTCGTACTGTCTGCATCCTGATATCCTAAGGCTCTCCTGCTCCAACACAAGAATAAATAGCATATTTGGACTCTTTGTGCTGCTATCCACTATGGGGCTTGATTTTCTCCTCATTCTTTTTTCATACATTCTGATCCTAAAAACAGTACTAAGCATTGCATCCCACGGTGGCCGCCTCAAGGCTCTCAACACCTGTATTTCTCACCTCTGTGCTGTGATCCTCTTCTTCACACCCATGATCTGCCTGTCTATACTGCACCGCTTCGGCCCAAAACTTCCCTCACACATTTACGTGACCCTGGCCAACATGCACTTTCTCATTCCTCCTGTGATGAACCCCATTGTGTATGTGGTGAAAACCAAGCCAATACAAGATAAAATCCTGAAACTCTTTATCAAAAAAGAATCAGGAAAATCCAAAATCACATTTGTAAAATGAGTGACCACTATCCTAAGAATGCTTCATGAAATGAAGAACTTGCTACTATTCCAAATGCCCAAAGAGATTCTGTTTGACCACTGACGATTCTTAATAATATGGGATGTAAGGCTGGAAACTATTTCTTTTCTATGATTTGAATTAATATATATTGAATAGTAAAAATTATTCGGTAAAATAAAAATTTGAAATAATGAACTAGCTTCATTATTTCTTAGTCCAATGGTTTATATATTATGGTCAGAGAAGTTTGTGATCTTATAGTTCAATTTTCACAGAGTAAGTAAATTATTATTTGTTATCATCTGTGTATGTATCGCCCTTGATAGACTGATATTTATTTAGTGAATACCTACGATATTTTTTACTTTTTTGAGGTACTGGAGATAACTTAATTAAACGAAGTTCTCGCCTTCACAGTGGTTTGTTTTCTTGATATTATTGTCAAAGTAAGGAACAACAGATAAAATAAATAAATAAATAAATAAATAAATAAATAAATAAATAATATCTAATACAGAAAAGAACTATAAAGTCATGAAACAAAGTCAACAATCTCTACCTAAATCTGTACCGACATTGTCCTGGCCAAGTGCTCAGTTGATTGGAGCTTCATTCAATACACTGAAATGTTTCGGGTTTGATTCCTGGTCAAAGCACATACCCAGTTTTGGGGTTTGAGTCCCAGGAAGGGGTGTATGGGAGGCAATCAATCAATATTTATCTCTCTCTCTCTCTCTCTCTCTCTCTCTCTCTCTCTCTCTCTCTCTCTCTCTCTTACACACACACACACACACACACAATTAATTAATAAACATATCCTTGGGTGAAGAATAAAAATAAAATTGTACCAACATTTCTATTGCCAGACTCTAAATCTCTAGCATAATGTTCTTTCACACATGCTCACACCTTGACTTCAGAGCCTCTGGACTTTGGCCTTGAGATCACTAATTCTGGTCCTTGAAACATTCACCTTGTCTAACTCTATGACAACATTGTTAATTCATTGTCTTTCATAGTCTCTATGGACCACACATACTCGAGAAAATGCTCCATCAATACTCATTCTTTCTTGTTGTTGTTTTTGTTTTGTTTTGGGGGGTTGTTTTTACTTTTTAACTCTAAACTTCTTTTGGAATCAATTTAAATAATTTTCTATTTTCTACTCTTACATCTGTACTTTTTAGTTCTAAGTAAGAAAACAATAGATTTTTAAATTGTGATAACTACATAATAATGGTCTTTATTGCTTTGATCTTTCAGTGATTGAATGTATATTTTTAAAACACTTGGTGTTTCCATAATCCACAGCTGCAATTTCACATGTTCATAACTATTTCCCAGTTACTTATACTTCTCAGCATGCAGTCTCTTCACTTTTACATACATAAAGGAATTTATTTCTATATATGCCATAAAATTCTCCCTTCTAATAAAAAAGGAATTATTACCTCCTTTATTCAAAGAAGATAAGTTTCTTTTCATGTAATCAGAGATGTTCAATTTGCCCTGCATCCTTTCTGTTTCTCTTTTTTTATATATATTATCATTATTAGAAAATATTTCAAGCATTACCTTTTGTGACAGCATGGATGAACCTGGAAAGTATTATGCTAAGTGAAATAAGTCAGTCAGAGAAGACATGTATCACATTACTTCACTTATATGTGAGATTTAATGAACAAAATAGACTGATGGACAAAGTGGAGACAGACTCATGGATACAGAGAACAGATTGATAGTTGTCAGAGGGGCAGGGTTCAGGGCTGGGTGAGATAGGTGAAGGGATTAAGCAAAGGGGGAAAAAAAAAAAAAAAAAAAAAAAAAAAAAAAAAAAAAAAAAAGAAAGATTAATGGACACAAAATACAGTTTGGTCCACAGACTTCATTTGGTGATTGCCAGAGTGAAGGGGAATTGAGGGGGTAGGAGAAGGTAAAGAGAGGATAAATGGTGACGAAAGAAGACTAGACTTGGGTAGCAAATGCACAATACCATATACAGATGGTACATGGTAGAATTGTAAAAAAGCAAAATAAAAATAAAAGTAAACAAATAATATTTTAGGCATCCCAAAGATGCAGAAAATAATACAACAAACATGCATATATTTTTCTCTTAATTCTATTTAATTATAAAATATTTTTCCACAATTGCATTAGTTTATTACATACTACAAATTATATCTAATAAAGGCAAAGACTTTTTGTATCTCTCTGAGTCACAAACTTCAAACTCAATCCCAAAGCCACACACACATTAGAGTTTTGTGTTTATCTTTTCCTTCCTTGTTTTCTATTTAATGATATAATAAGCATAAAAAAGGTGTGGCAAAAGTAGATTTACAGTTGTGAGTACAAAAAACACAGAGTTTATTCTTGAATTGTTATTTATTAATTACTACAGGCCTGGTACGCAAAATTCATGCGCTGGGGGGAGGGAATCCCTCAGCCCGGCCTGCACCCTCTCATACTCCAGGAGCCCTCAGGGGATGTCCAACTGCCACAGAGCCCTGTGGGAGTGCACTGACCACCAGGAGGAAGCTCCTGCTTTGAGTGTCTGCCCTCTGGTGGTCAGTGTGTATCATAGCAACTGGTCATTCTGACATCAGACAGAAACCGGCTCTCTGACATCCCCTGAGGGGTCCCAGATTGCAAGAGAGTGCAGGCCAGGCCGAAGGATCCCACTGGTGTATGATCGGTGTGGGAGGGATGCAGGAAGTTGGCCAGCCAGGGAGGGACAATAGGAGGGCTCCAAGGCATGTCCAGCTGTCTCACTCAGCCCCAACCATCCAGACCCCAGCAGCAAGCTAACCTACCATTTGGAGCATCTGCCCCTGGTGGTCAGTGCATATCATAGTGACTGATTGACCAGTTGACTATCCCCTGGTGTTCATTGTGTGTCATAGCAAGCAGTTGAGTGGCCTTAGCATATCATTAGCATATTATGCTTTGATTGGTTGAATGGCAGACTGGACATTTAGCATTTCAGGCTTTTATTAAATAGGATTGCATTACTTTCCATAAAAATAACTATAAACCTACTTTTGCCCCACCCTGTATATGCTATATAGCTGCATAGAATTGTTTGTGAGCTATATTCTGCTCTTTCAACAAATTATTTTTCTCTCTCTTCTTAAAGCTTTATTTCTTCCTTTTGGAGGCTTGATATTGGCCCATCAATTATCTGCACATCTTAATCTGAGAATATATCACCTTACTTGGCAATAGGAACCTTGTAAGAGTGATTAAGTTAAGGGGATCTTAGCATTGGAAGATTATCCTGAATTTTCTGAGTGTGCCTGATGTAGTCACAAACTCCTTAGAAGGGAAAGGCAGGAAGTCAGAAAGGAGCGGAGATAGGATATTGATGGCGTTGAAGCTACAGAAATACAGCCAGGAACCAAGCTGGAAAAGGCAAATCAATAGATTTTTCCCCCGTAGCCTCCAGAAACAACCTCTCAAGAGACACCTGCATATTAGCCTCGTATGACTCATTTTGGACATTTAATCTCTGGAACTGTAAAATAACATTATTGTGTTATTTTAAGTCACTGAGTTTGTTGTAATCTGTTTCAGCAACTGTAGAAAATTAATACACCTCCCTTACTAAACATAATTCATTATACTTCCTTAGCTAAAAATAAATTTATCCAGCCATTCCTTCTCCACCAGCTGCTTTAAAACAGCTTAAAAAACATTTAAGACTCTCTGTTCATAAAATGAACTCTTACTAACCACATGGCTGTCAGTGGGTACTTAATTTATTTTTCTTCTTTATTTCTACTTGGAAAAAGTAATGAACATTCATTATCTTCCTCTTGCCAAATCTTTTAAAAATTTATTGTGGTGAAATACAAAGCACATACAGAAAACTGCAAGGAAATAAATGTGCAATTTAACACATTTTTTTTAAATGGACACCCATGTAAATATCACCTAAGTAAAGAAATAAAATGATTGATGCCCAAATTTTTTCTGCAGTCTCACCTGAACATGACCTTACTATCACCACTATGTTAAACCAGTATTCTGATTTTTACAGTGTTTATTTCATTGTTTTCCTTTACATTGTGACTATTTATACATCCCCAAACAGAAGTTTACTTGTAATCAAACTAAACTAAACACTGTTTCCTCTTCAACTCCATTGTAATCTAATTGTGCCTCTACTATTCCATTGAAATTGCTTGGGCAAAGGTCACTCTAATTAACTCTAAATTACCAAATCCTGTTATTTCAGATTCTGTCTCCTCAACACTGATGTTTCATCTACAATGAAACAGTTGATTGATCTCTTGTCATTGAATATTCGTACTTTGTAGGTTTCTCTTGCACCTCTGTATTTTCCGATCTCTTCAGCTAATTTTATTCATTGCATTTTCTAGCTTTACTTCTGATGCCAACCTGCTGGATATAAATGTTGCCCTCCTCAATCTCAAGTTGAATGTCCTGAACTCCTGTCAGGTTCATACTGAGAAGGAAACCCCTATTTGTAACAAACTGCTGTTTGGAATTTTCTGCTGTTTTTCTTAGATAAAATGTTGCTGTCTAGTCTGCTTTAGCCTGTTTAAAGAATGATGAAGATAAACTTAGCTATATGACCTTGTAGGCCGGAGACTAGATATGCCATAATCTCAATGCCATGCCAGGTGCACTTTTTAATTAGATAGAACTGTGTTGTTTTCAAGGCCAGCATCGAGATAACCACTAAATGCACATAGGGCTGGCTCTTTAATAAAAAGGGAAGTACTGTTTGTAGCCTTGCTTAGAATTTGAATTCATTTTCTCTAAGCCCATCACACGATGAATAAAGTGAGTTTCTCCAAACTCTCCTCCTGCATTGTTTGATTGTTCGGGAACTCTGTAACAATACTTCCCTCTGGATAATTCCCTTTGTATGCTATATGGAAACCTTAAACTCAACTCATCCAAAATAGAACTTGGAATAGAATAGCAGGAGTCTCCTGCTCCATTCTCAACTGCTGCTTCCTCCTGCT